ACATCTCACGATTCCGAGTTGACATCTCACGATTCCGATGTCCGAGTTGACATCTCACAATTCCGAGTTTACATCTCACGATTCCAAGTTTATCTCTCACAATTCCGAATTTATATCTCACAATTCCGAGTGGTTATATCTCATAATTCAGAGTGTTTATATCTCATAATTCCGAGTGTTTTTATCTGACTGTTCCAAGTTTTACTTTACCCTTTTTTTTATTCTGTGGAAGAAACAAGCTTCCAAACTGACAAATAATAATGATTCAAAACATGTGTGAAGAGAATAAATAGGGTTGATTTTGTTTTCACAGAACTGTAAAATGGAGTATGTTTTGTTCTTCTAAAAACCATTGAAATCTATTGTATAAAACAGTTGTTAAGTTTAATAATGTGAAGTTAATGAGCTGTGTACTAGTTTAGCTGAAGCCTTTTATGACTCGCTGACACCTGCTGGTTACACCTGTCGAATCAACCATTGTTGACTCTATTAATTGTCTTTTGACTAGGTTGTCTGCATTATGAAGCCAGAGTGCATATATCTGTCTCAGGATGGTAGTTTGATTTGATTTTAGCATGTGCATTGCTAATGAGTTGTTTCGTTTATTGCAAGTCAGTCTGAGAATTGAATGGAGCATGGCAAACTCTGAGCGTTCAGACAACTAATGAATAAATTGATGATCTCTTATGAAATGAACCCCACACAAGTGTATTCAGGATGCAACCTAAATCTGTTTTCCAGAGGAGACACTGAATACTGAACGCATACGGTTTATCTGGGAGTTAAAAAGTTCTCGAGCGCATAATGAATGAGTCTCTAATGCATCTGAATCTGTGTGTCGATGCAGTTTGCTGCAGAATGTGAGCTGTTTACTCTTAGTAATCTTGTTTGGGATCATAAAAGTCTTCATTATGTTTCCTAATGTCTCCCATAGGTTCAGAAAAATAAGTACAGACTTCTAAAATAATTTGCAGCAAGATGTGAGTGCTTGGAGCAGCACAGCTTTAGAGTTATATATTATATGATTATATCTCTTATAATATATTTTTTGCACGGTTTCATTTTAATTAAATGCTATTGTAGTGATCGACATCTGAAAATATTTGGCAGAAATTAAATTTTTGGATTCGATAGGGATAAAAAAAAAAAAAAAGTATTTGCTAAATATAGGCACTGTATTCATTATTCAATATTCAATATTCATTATATTGTTACTTAAGCTGTTGCTGTGGTTACTTCATATGTTTAAATAAATCTGTCTTTTTTTACAGCAACTATTTTAATGTTTGTAATTAAATGACAAATAGAAACATAATTACGTACTTTAAAAAGTTGTTTTAAAGTTTTTATTTAAGTGTTGATTATTAAAAAACATTTGAGTAATTCATTGATTGTTAAATTTTTTTTTTAAATTTCTTTGCCTCGGCAACTAAAAATACATTTTTGTGCGTCGCTTGTATTCATAATTTTTCTCTTTTCATTTTAATTGTAGTTTAAATTTTAGTTATTTTGTTTTGTGTTTTTGTCAGTTTTGTGCATTAAAATTATTTCATGTTTATTATTACTATTATTCTTTTTTTTTAAGTTTAGTTCTTTTTGGTTTTAGAAAAAAATAGTAGGCTATTGTTGTCTTGGCAACTAACTAAAATTTTGGTGTATCTATATTCATCATTTTGAATTTTAGTTTAAATTTTAGTTACTTTGTTCTGTGTTTTTGTTGGTTTTATGCATTTAAAAAATTTATATATTTCTATTTATTGTTCCTTTTATTGTTTTTTTTTTTATTTTATTTTATTTTTTATTTTAGGTATTTTCAGTTTTAGTTAAAAAAAATTACAATTAAAAAATGTCACCTTGGCAACTCACTAAAAATTCATTCTGGTGCATCACTACTATTCATAATCTATATTCAGCAAAATCATTGCATGCTTCACACATTCCACTTCAAATAAGTCAGCATGTCATTATTAAACACATAAATTAGTATTTTCAGACATTTGTTTATTGACATTCAGTAATACAGTCATTTCCACAGATGTTGTTTGTGCAGAGCCACACGCATGTGATGCATTTCCACTTCTCTTAACTGCATTAATACTCTGTGTGTGTGTGTGTGTGTGTGTGTGTGTGTGTGTGGCCGTTTTGCCCTCAGCCAGTCGAGCACACCTGTCTGTCATCATTTGAGCGTAATGACTCCATTAAACAGCAGTGGCGATGGTTAACTGTAATGGAACGTTCTGGATGGAGCTCTAGATGTGTGCTTTGTGCTGTAGGTTGCAGTCACAGATTGAATGTCTTTTATTTATTGAGTGTTTTGTGCACATTCACTCTGTTATTTGTTTTATTTGCTGTCAGTTCTGGCTTCTATATTACAGATGTTCACATATGCACATTGTGGTGCCGTTGGCTCAGGTGTGGATATTTGTCTCCAGAGATGTGTGTCTGTAATGATTTTGTTTGGAGCAGGCCTTGGGAAAATTAAATTAAGAATATAAACGACCAGCGCTTGTGCTGGGAAACCCCTCCAGGTCAAACGATAGAGGACAGTCTGAGCTGGCTGTGTTTTATGCTGCTGTTAGAGCGTCTGAGTCTAAAGAGTTTGAGCAGAAACTTCAGATACTTGCTGTGGTTGAGCTAAATT